CCCTTGTGTCATTTGTCATAGATGGATTGGATGCTCAACATTTTTTGTTTCAGGTTTTTATGAGGTTCAGGTATATGGAAGGTGGGCACAAGTGGTTTTAAAGGAGCACAGCACACAAAGAAAAACAGCAAAATGTAACACCTGGTTTTGTCTGTAGATACACAAGAATATATTAAGTACTGAAAGACATAAAAGCAAACACATTTTCGAAAAGCTTTAAGAGCAGCATTAAATCTGGATATTTGAGCCAGAATGTCCAATTTATCTCTGCAGTTCCACATTCCACTTTCATGAAGCCTACAAGTTGAGCCAAAGACTGCATAGCTCATAAGCATCATTTTTCAGATACAATTGAAGGGTCTGACCAATGTCTTGGATAATGTATTTTGTGATCACCAAGCATCAACAGAATTTAGCCACTAAGCAACCGTTCACAACTAGATATAACCTGAATCAAAGCACTGGCCTAAAGCAGATCTGGATCTACAATTTTATAAGACTAAATTGACACATTGAACCAGCATTAATCGTGAACTTAAAAACATTTGTTCTTTATGTGAGATCTGAAATGAAAAAAGGTGTCAGGTTAAGATGCAACTTTTGACTGAGTTAGAAAACTCAGTAGTGACATCCCATGAGTTCCTTGTCAAAGTGAAAAAAAATCCATTACATAGAAAGTGATGAGGTTAAACTTAGGCCAGTGCTGCAAGCTAAGACTTAACTGAACCGTACCATTTGCTATTGCACCAGATACAAGTGAAGAAGCAGAGGAAAAGATTAAAAAGAGAAAAGGAAAGATTAAGCTAAAGGAAAGATTGAGCTATTTACTAGTTAAGCAAATTTTCTCAGTGAGCTGAAGGAAACTGAGCAAAGGAGTTCTCTGAAACAACCTTTTGTTTAGTGCCTTGCTTAGAGGGGAAGAAGGGCAGGGGATGTAGGGGAAGAAGTGTTGGAAGCTCAGCACAACAGAATTTCAGTACAATGTTCAAAAGCAATGCATCAGTTACTGACCATCATATAGCTTAAATCCACGTTCATCTGTTTCTACTTCAGACTCCGGCTGAAGGGGAAAAAAATTTAATTTTTTCAAGGCTGCTTTTATGATCACTGTCACAGATATATACACTCCACTAATAAACACAGGATTATACACTTTTTTTACCCCAATTAATATAACTTATCTTCATCATTAAACTGCTGTATACAACTGTTAAAATACAAAAACTTTATTTAATCTAGAACAACAGATACTCCAAAGCATATGACTTAAGTTCATTAGAGCTTTACTTAAGAAATAAGAGCTCCTTCATCCTCCTTAACAAAGACCTCCAGCATCAATACACAAGCTGCTTTTCTGTTTTGATTTTGGAGACAAAGAACTACTTACTGCTTAACACAGAACTACTAAATTCATTAGCACAAGGGATCTTGAAAAATGCATCCAACGTACACGCACTCCTTATTTTAAAAGGGTAGCAAAGAAGACAGTAAGCTTCTTTTTGCTGAGTTCACTCAGTGGTTTGGCCATTGAGACTTCAATTACCCCAGTAATTGAAATTTTATTTCTCCTTCTCATGAAGTTAACATTATTTTAAGCAGCATCAATTTTAAAAGCTCATCAAGAGAACCGAAAATCTACTCAATTTAGTAGATACTAAAATCTACTCAAGCCTTATCAGGTCTTTTCATCAACACTGTTACCTTAAAGAAGTCATCTTGAGAGATTATATCACAGTTGGGAAGCATTTTCTTAAGCTTTTCTGCTAGCGTTGTTTTCCCCCCATTTGTTACGCTGTTAGAAAACATTGTAAAAACTTCATCGAGACAAAAATCAATCTTTTAAACATATGTACAAGCCCACACATACATTTCTATATAGTTATATGCAAAGAAACAATACAACCCCCTCCCCAAAAGTTTATTCACATTAAATACTCTCTACCTATAGAAATTTTTTGGCATGTTCCAACAGCTTTCAGACAGTAAATCTAGCAGTGCCAAGAAAGAGGCTAGAGACACCTGTACCTGAGACCTCCAACAGAGACAGAACAATTTGTTAAGAATTACATGCTTTAAAATCATACAGTTATATCTTGAATTGTAATCCAGTTTCAAAAAAATTTATATTCAGAAATAGAAATTATATCACTTCATTCTGGAAGGAAGACCAGTTTTAAGCTGTAGAGGAAATTTAATTTTGTCATACTTACCCTCCAAGGCCAATAACCAATACTTTCATATTCAGCTCTTCCTTTTTTCTGCCAAGAACAGAAAACAGTGAAAAACTCTTAATTGAGCAACTAGGAAAGCAGCTGTCATATTAAGAAATACCAATTATAGAGAAGATTTACTTTCTGTCCTTTTTCTTTTTGCAAAGCTACAGTCAGAATCTCAACTGTTTGTTCTAATGCTACCAAAAAACCTGCCATTTATATGCCACATTGTAAATTTAAATTTACTTTACCTTTGATCGTATTTTAATCATTTGAAAAGAACTTTGAGAGACCCAATTTTAAAAATATTAATATCATCCAAGTTCTTAAAGAAAAGCACAGTCACTAGCTCAAGGACTAAGAGTATAAAAAAGACTAGGTAAACAGAGGCTGTGGTGGTAAAACAAACAAAGTCATTAAAAAGAAACAAGTGACATCCTGAGAAGAAAGACGTTTTTAAAAGTTCATGAAGAGTTATAACCAAGAGTATCTTCAAAGATTCTTCTATGAATCTAGTCTCAGCAGTGTAATATTCAATGTGTAATTCACCACTACCTTTTTGTGGGGACTAACAGCACAGACCACACATGGACTCTTCCTCTCGTACAGATTAATCTGAAGGCATTAAAACTAGTGTAAAGGCTGTTTAAGCCATCCTAGCTGACTTAGCACTGAGAAGGACTAGGTAGCACTTGATTTTCTCCAGAAAAGATCAGAGTGAAACTATAAAGGTTAATTTAGCCATCCATACCCCCACTGCTGCCAAGAAACCAACCCTAAGGCTCTGGCTGGCTGAACACCTTCAGTGGTCAGTGCTGCCAGAAGACACAATCCTGTCTTGCCCTGACTCCTTCCCCTGAACTTTCTTCTGGAACGGGTGTTTGCAGAGTACTTAGAGAACTATACTGGAAAAGGACCACAACTGAAAAACAGTTCTGTAAAGAGTGTGGGGAAGAATGTTTGTTTTCAGCTGAACAAATTCCCTCCAGTACACCATCCAGTTTCCCATGTCTGCAAAGGTATGACGCAGCAGGAGAGGTTGTTCTCTTGGCAGCAACAGGGCTGCTTGTCTTGGCAGCACCACTAGTCTATGGTTCATCAAACCAGTTTAACATTTGTTAGACATTGCTTTCCATGAGCACACATCAATTTATAACTGTTTAACCACAGGCAAACACCCTTTTTTTCAACTGCTCTGTCTTCCTAGGTCAGACTTAAGGAGGTAAGGTCTATGACACCTAAGACCTGAAGGGATGGAGCAGGCAAAACTGTCTCACCCACCCCAACAAAGAAGTATCTGTACTACACTAAAAAAAAGACTGTTACAGGGCATCAGTATGAAAGTAAAACCACACTATTTCTGTGAAAAGTAAGTTTTAGGCATATACGGAGTCTGAAATAACAACATCCTTTTGCATTTGGTGCAATGACTGGATGTTCAACTGTTTCACAGGTCTGTGATGTAATCTTGGCATGGTTCTTTTTTATGTATTATTATGTTGAAAAAACCCCAATAACGAAAGACATACCGACTAGTCAAGCCATCACCCATATGATAGCAACTGCTTTGTAATGGTGCTGCACATCTACTTGCATTGGGAAGTTTTTTTAAGTTAGTACACATGGGTTTTCTCAGCATATTGTAATTCTCAAGTTCAAAGACGATTGCATGCTTATGGTATTAGCTATGAGTGCAAAGAGTGCAAACAGATGATCTGTTCTCAGGAAGTGATGATACTCAGGCCACAAAAACCAAAACAAGAATGCTTTTTTCTAAAAATCATCAGTAAGGTTTGTGTTGCAGAGGATTACCCTTTGTCCCACAAAGCATGCTATGTAACAAACTTAATAGTAACTGGACACACGTGTTGAGCTTTGGACTTTAATTTATGTCATTGTCTATATGTAAATTAATCCCAGTCTAAGGCAAAAAACACTAGCACAAAAAAACCCATCAACTCCTCTGACCTCTGAGTAATGTATAACACAAATTGCAAAGGCAAATTTTTAATCAATGTTGCAACACAGAAACCCTTTATCTGGGCTTGAGCTTAGCATCTTCAAATAGAACTAAAAACCCATGACAACGCTAGCACAGCATTGCCGTCACCCCATTTTTAAGAGCATACCGGGTCAAAAGTCACGGGCACGGGGACTGAGGCGTGCTTCCTTCTACGCACCACCAGAGCCGGACAGGGAGCGTCTCTCCCCGGCATCAAGCCCACACACCGGGACTGGCGGAGGGGCCGGGGGTCCGCGGGCCGGTCGCCACAGACGGCCGCACCTCTCCCAGCAGCTGCAACCCTTCAGTCTCTGCGGTTCGCACCTAACTTTAACCACGCCGGGGGGGTGTCCAGAGCGGAGAGCCCACCTCTTACGTCCTATTACGGAGCTGCCCAAGGCGCGCGTACATCCGAGAAGGGGCGGCCCTGCGCGCACCGCGCTCCAGCCACACGCCTGGGATAGGGATCGGGATCGGGATCGGATCAGGATTCAGGCCCCCGCAGACGCCAGACGTACACCTCAAAACCTCCCCTCCCCGCTCCCACCCCTGCCGTGTGGCCCCCTTTGCCCGGCCTCCTCAGCGGAGGGGTGGGCCGCGGGCTCTCACCCTCAGCGCCCGTGCGATTTTGGTTGCGCCCCGCCGGGGCTGGGTTGACGCGCCTGCTGGGCCGCCGGGGCGGAGCGATCCGCCCGCTCTGCGCCTGCTGTCTCCGCGGCGCGGCCGCTCCCGGAGCACGGAGAGTTTTTGCGCCGCCTCCTCGCACCGAGTGCCCACCTGCAGGCAAAGCGATCGCCGCCGCCGCTCCCCGGTCCGCGCTAGGGGTCCGGCTCAGCCATGTCCAAGCCTTCCAACCTAAACCGGCCAAGCCAGGTGAGCGTAAGGACGCAGCGCCGGACCCGCCGTCCCCGTGCGCGGGCGCGACGGAGCCGCTGCCTGGCTGACACGTGGATGATTTGGGGGTCGGGTTATGGGCCCTCAAAACAGAGAACTCGGGCGTGGGTGGGAGCGGGGCAGAGCCGCCCTTCTCTTCCTGTCCGCGCCCTCCCGCCATGAACCTGCGCACCGCTCTCTTGGTGTCGGGAAGGAAGGTAGCCGCTCCCGTGGCTGGAAAGGGCCGTGGATCTGCCCTCGGGCATCGTGTCTGGGCGGGATCCCGTGGTTGCTGTAGCTCGGGAGAATGTTCATGAGTGCCACCGGGCCAGAGCCGTCGCCCGGGGACATCCCTGTGGATGCGCAGCCCTCCCGCCCCGGCCTCCTTCCGCGCGGCGCCGGCCCTGCCCGGAGCCGCCGTGCCCGTGGCACTGGGCGGCGCGGCGTGTCCGGCCTGCAGCGGCCGCCGAGGAGCTGCTTGCGTGGGCTGAAACGCGCAGGAGACCCTTTACCCTTTAAAGAAATAGCATTGGAATGCTCTGAGGTTTACCTTGTGGTTGCATGGGTTACGAATATATTAATGAATAAAAGCAGTTTTATAACACAGTCCCACGCAACATTCTTCCTCTTCTAACGTGGCATCCACTGCATTCCCTTATAGGACTCCCAGCAGCCAAACCCTCACTTTGCTAGTGCATGTAGTCATCGATGCGTACATTTTTGATCCTGTATTTTTTCCGAAAAAACCAGTGCAAAGTTAGTTTTTAAAAAATCAATAACAGCCACAGTTTTTTCCTAAAAATATATGAAAGGCCATTGGAAGTTGCACAGTTTTAAATCCTGGATTAGAAGTGGTGTTTTTTCGGTGAACATACATTCTTTTGCCAAAACTTAAACCATTATTTTCAGGGTTTCCTTTTTTAAAATAAGGAATTGGTCTAGAAAATGCCATGGCTGTTTATCACGTTTGTGTATTGTCTCCCAATGTAAAAGTTTGAATTCTTACTTAGAAGTTAAGAAAATCACCATGAATATAATTCGATAGACAAGACTAGTTGATGTCTCCCAAAGCAGGACTATCTGATCCCTAAATGTATCTGAACTTCAATATTTTTTTGTATTTGGAATACTATTTGTAGTACTGATGTAAAAAAATTAATTAAATACATAACCTAATTAAGTATTTTAACTAGATAGCTCATAAAACAAGTTTTTGATTTAAACGCAAGTAAGTGCAAACCCAGTTTAGACCATTTAAACCATCAATCTCAACCTGCCTACAGAAGAAAAATCTGCTAAAGTTCTCTGAATGTAGAGTTTCATCCTTGGAAGAACTTCCTCTGCCCTGCAGTTTGCTGAGCCTCTTTGAAAAGAGCTTGCTTCAACTGAAGAAGACAGTAAGAAAAGTGTTGCTGTTGTGAACCCTTACTGAAGACAATCAGGACTGAGGAAACCTGCAGGCCTCTAACAGGATGTGGTGTTGCTCTTAACAGCTGAATATACCTGAAGAGTAGGTTTTTCCAGTGAAGTTGTTAATGGAGTTTTCTATTTTGCAATAAGATTCTTAAGGAGTTAAAGGCCTCACCCTGCCTAACCTGCCTCATACTGACTTAGATATGTCTAATATAGATGTCTCTCACTAGTTTGGTAGGGTGCAGTTTTGTGGTATGCTTGATCTGATAAAATGCAGACTGTTGTCAAAAGGACAGGTTCCCTACTCCCACCATCCCTTTCCATTCCATATAGTGGCATGACAAGCTGGATCGCTGCTCTGACTTTTTGCATAAGGTCATTTTAATGTCTACAGTATGAGTGCTTGACACAGCAAGAGGAAATGGGTGGAAGAAGGAAGAGGAAGAGAAAGAATAAGACTGTCTTGGTAGTGGCTTTCAGAGCTGATTAAAGTAATAAGATTAATTTTGCCAAATCTCTAATTTTTGAGGAGAGAAAATTTTATGGAGTCTGTTGTGTTAAATTTTTTACAAGTAATTTTCAGGAATGCATTGCCTTCTAGCATACTTCAAAATATCTCTGTACTTGTATGTCTGACTTTCTTCTGTCCATGATACCAGTTTCGCCTGTGCGATTGTCATTTAATTTCTTAGGATTATAAATGTTAGAGACATTAATATAGAAGCTGTATGTGGTGAAATACTTTCTACAGCAGTGTAATGCTGTCTCTTTTGGTGGCATTTAGATTGCAGTTGCTGGAATGTCTGGAATATCTTGGTGCATTTGGTCAAGCTGTGTTAATTTTTCTTCACTGGTTATTATCAGGTATCCAGTCTATAAGCTGTGTAAGGGAACAGCAAGTCTGCTTGCCGTGCTGAATTTACACAGTTCAGATGAGATAGAAGAGAAAACAAGCCATTGGTTGCTATAGTCCTTTTCTGTGTGTTCAAGAAATAAAAAGTGTAGGCTAGATAGAGAGGGAAGTAAATATGTCAGATGCCAGTGAAGTGATAATATTTAATGAAATAAATATTCGTGCTTTTTAAAACAGTCTTCACTGCTCTAATCAGGGATTTTGGACATTACAGTTGGACCATGCTTTAAAAATGTGTGAAGGGGGAAAATCAACAAGCTATAGCACTGTCATTTCCATCAGTATATGAGACCATTTTATGTGATAGATGGCTCTTCTATAAATCCTGTTGTGTGCACAGAACATTAGGATTTCAGTTGCAGAAAAATGGTTTTGACATCAGTATATGTTAGACAGTCACGGGATATGTTTGTCAGCACTTGAACTAGTCTTTCAGGGTCTGTGGTTAGTCTTTAAGTGAGGGGTCACAATTGTTTATAAAGGCTTTTTTTTTAACAAGCATGTCTAGCTTTGCTTTTCTCTTGTGGTTCTGTATTATTATTATTTTCTAGCTATATTTTTTATTTAGCCTATTAAAACTAGAAAGGAGTCGAGTGGGTGTTGAAAATTGTAGAAACATACTTCTCTGTCATCATTTTGCAAGAGTAGGATTTCCCTTCCGTCTTTCGAAAGATTTTTTTATATCTTAAACTACATTATTCTTTGCACAGTTCATATCACTTTGGATATTAATCCTATTTACAAAAGTTACTTATGGAGTCCTTTGAATTTGACAAGTTGTATTGGCTTCTGCTAGTTGTGTGCTGGTTGAACACTGTCTCATTGAACAGTGCTTGCTGTTTGATTAGATCTTTTTGATTAGAGCCCCATATACTGTGCAGCAACAGCTTTTGGGGATATGAAACTGGTGTTTTAATATTTAAAGAAAACTTACTTACTTTCATATTTACCAGACAGAGTAAGGTTTGTTGATCATGGCCTACAGTTGACACAACATTTATATTTTATGGAGAAAGACTAGTCTTTGTACCAAGGAAGTTGTAGTTTTAAATTATTCCAATTGAGAGGAAAGCAGGCAGGAGGAAACATAACTTATGTAACATTAAGAGTTGATTCTTTAAAGCGGGTTCATTGACTTTGCTCCCACTAGTAGCTGTCAGAGTTCAAAATAGGATTCTGGACATAAATACTGAAGTTCAATCACAAGTTCACCTCAATTCTAAGGTAAAGTAGGAGCTGTGACAGCATTCATGGGAGCAGAAGACTTGCATTGAGTCACGTGCCTCAGACGTTAGCAGTAGGCTTAAATTCAGTGTAAGTGGTAGGTTGGGTTTCTTCAGTAGACAGAGAAATGTTTCTGTTAGCTAGGAAGATGTAAGCATGGGAATATGGGGAGTTACACAACAGTCATCAGCTCTAAGGGGAGAGAAACAACTGAACAGTTCCAAGTCTGATTTTGGTATGAATTTTAAACTTCCATTTCTCATCTCAAACTCTCCTTACTGCAAGGTTCTGGGGCCACAAACAAGCTTTCTACAGGTGAAGGCATGCTGGTATTGCAGAAGTAAAATTGGTAAGAAGTAGAAGATTGCAGCTTTAAACTGTGCCAGTGAAGTTGTGTTCACGTTCATCTTCTGTGAGAATATTTTTAGTTCTGGTTTTCTGTAAAGAAATACTGTTTGTTCCTTCCACTCCAGACACTGATTAGTGCAGTTCATGTTTGTTCCTGGACTACCCCAGTTTTTCATCTATGCTGGCACCAGTCTATCTTTTTCGTTCTTTTTAATATGATCCTAAGCAGATTCCTAGGCTTTCTTGTTTGTTTGTTTCATGCATCCTCACCCCTTCCTCCCCGCAGATGTGTATGCCCTGTGTTCACTTCCTGTTTCTAACAAGCACTACTTAGACATGGAAGATGGTTCTCTAAACAGTGAGGACCCCACTTTTTTTTCTGTCTCAGTTGTGGTAGTCTTTAAAAGCTATGTTGAACTTGGTTGTGTCTCTGTGCAGGGTCCTCTGAGCAAAGTGCTAAACTGCACGCCTGTAGAAGGTATTTCCAATACTTTTATTCCTGCTTGAAGATCTGGGTGCAAAGCACCTTGTTTTCCAATTCCCATGCAATGCTACAGGTTTGTAGCAGAGTGGCTGGAAAGCTTCCTGGAGGAAAAGGACCTGGGGGTGCTGGTTGACAGCTTCTGAAAGTGAGCTAGTGTGTGCCTAGTTGGCCAAGAAGGCCAGGGATGTCCTGGCCTGCCTCAAAAGCAGTGCAGCCAACAGGACCCAGGGCAGTGATCATCCCCCTGTACTGGTGAGGCCACACCTCAAGTGCCGTGTCCAGTTCTGGACCCCTCACTTCAGTAAAGACATTGAGGTGCTGGGGTGTGTCCAGAGAAGGACAACAAAGCTGGTGAATGGTCTAGAGAATAAGTCCTAAGAGGAGTGGCTGAGAGAGCTGGGGGGATTTAGCCTGGAAAAAAGGAGGCTCAGGAGAGACCATATTGCTCTCTACAACTACTTAAAAGGAGGTAGTAGCTAAGTGGGTGTTGGTTTCTTGTCCCAAGTGACACAAGTGATAGAACAAGAGGAAATGGCCTTGACTTGTGCCAGGGGAAGTTTAGGTTGGATATAAGGGAAAATTTCTTCACTGAAGGGGTATGTCAGGTGTTGGAACAGG